TGATGATGTCACAAGGAAATCACTACAAAAGGGGTAAAACTGCATCTCAAAATAGATGTATGTGCCATGATTATACATGATAATTCCTTGTAATTCAAAGTAGTATTAATAGAACTAAGTTGTATCTGAATAAAACACAACTCGTTGTATTGTCTCTGGAAGTTTAGGAACAGAATTCTCCGTTGAGCCAGATATTTCTCTAGCCATTTGAATGATTTACTGAACTGCATAGCAGTGGTCAGCAGAATAGCAACTGCATGTGGTTAGTACCTGAGAGGGAGAAAAATCTCAGTTAACCATAGAGAATTGCTAACGATGAAGCCTGGGATGAATGGTAAGTTAATAATGAATTTGAGATCTCCTAGCTTGCGAAAAGGTTGTTGTACAAGACCAGTTCTACAATTCCCTTTGCCACCTGGTTGAACCTTCCATCTGCTCCAAAAAAAACATTTGGTCCTCTTCAGTGCTCTGAGGACAAGGAGATAATTTGCCCCAGGAAGGTGCTGGGGTCTCCATTTTGCACGTCTTGGTTTTCCAAATTTAAAAAAAGATAAAGGTCCCAACATTCAAGTTACTTATAACTTTAAGCATTGAATTGTAATCTGTGTGAAACACTGCAAGTTGGGTATCCATGTGTGTGAGATGCTGAAGTCTGGGCGTGCAGTAGGGTTATCTAATTCAATACCACTGACAGCATTTTATTATTAAATTCCTTGGACTTTGACAAAATCTGAATTGATTTGTTCTGTAGGTAGGAGCAGATCTACTCAGAGACTGACTTCTGTAAGATGCTGGGTTTGTGGTATGAATGGGTTAGATGCTGCCAGCCGTTCAGCGTTTAATAATTAAGCACAGCACATAAGCAGGCATTTCTGTGAAAAAGACGGATTGAAGAAACCACAGGCACCTAAAATCCGAGTGGAACAGAGAAGTGCAACTCCTCAGGGGCTGTCGCTCCTGACCCCATCATATTTTTTACTGATGGCTCGTGCAGCTCATTTCTAGCATGGAGAAATCCTCCCTGGTCAGATCAAACTGCTGCCTGTGGCCGTCATTGTGGTGATGCCACGTTAGAGGGCAGCTGCGGGGCTGAGCTTGCACAATGCTGTGCTTGTGGGGCCGTTGTTCGCCTGCCTGCCTGGCCGCTTGCATCATTTCTGTCTCCTGGGGAGATCGTTCGGGGGGGAAGTTGGCAGCAGATGAGACTTTCAGCTGGGTTTTCCCTCTGCCTGTGGACGTGGGGAGAGGTTGGCAGGCAGGTGGCACACCAAACAGGTGATAGCCTCTTTTGGGAGGCCACCTGCTGATGAGCACACATGAGCTGGGTTGCTCATGTTTGTAGTGAATTGCCTTGTGATGTGTAGCCTGAAATATAAGGGTAGACTAAATACCACAGCTCTCGTCCGAGAAGTAAAAGGATGAGTAAAAAAACTCAGCTGGTTTGCATTGACAGTAGCAATGGCGTTTGTAGCTGATGTGGTGTGCTCTGCCTTACTTAGCAGGTGGTCTGTTGGGTGAATAGAAACATGGCAGCTTATTTTTTGACATTTTTTTCTCTGGAAATTGTTCCTTTTCTCTTTTAACATTAGAAAACTTTTTTTTTTCTGTACCACTCCAGCATCAAATCGTAAATGTCCAATACTTCTGGACAACTTCAGGTGAGCTTCCAGCCACCAGGGACTTGGATTCTAGGTACCATCAAACCCATCCCTACAAACTCTTCCTCTTCCATCCCTCCAGGGAGAGGGAGGTGAGGAAATCTGGAGCATTTTGCTTACAACTCCTTTGCTGTAAAATATCCACTGCTTGGAGCTACAGCAGCCAAGTATAGCTGGAGGAGTTATCCCGTTGCCCTGCCCCAGTGTTGCCCTTACTTGATTCATTCATTTCTTCGTAGGAATTTAAGCTCTCTGATGCTGAATGGAGAATCAGAAGGTTAAACCATCATCTCTCAGTAAGGTTTTTATGCTTCTGATCTGGAACTCACAGGTCTGCATCAGTTCGCAGAGCTGCTCCCAGCGGCCATCGCCTTGCTCCTGCTCATGACACTTCTCCTTTTGGTTTCCACGGATGTTTATTTCCCTAAAACCCGAAGGCAGGAAAAGTCCCATTGTGGAGGATAATGCAAGGAAAAGCTTAGCAAACCAAAAAGCACTCGGCGTCTGTTCCCAACGAGGGCACGTGAGAGCTGGGCCTCTCTTGAGGCGTGCACCCTCGAGTAACAGAGCGTGGCGTAAGCCCCCTGGCTCTGGTCCTCTAGGTTGCTGTGTGCAGGCAGTGTGAGCACGGCTGGTTTGTATCGTTCCCCCTTGCCCTGCTCACTGCAGTGAGCACAGCTGGGTGCCTTTCCTTGGCCTGTGCCTGGCAGGCTGTGCGTTTGTGTTGTAATTCTCCGAAAACCCAGAGCGGAGCTGCCTGATCTTTCTGGGGAAAGAGGAGACAGGAGCTCAGCGGTGACCTGAATTCTCCTCTCTGTCCGTGAGCCTGGTTCAAAGGCCTGAAATAAAAACCTGTGGGACAAAGTTCAGGCTGAGCTGTTGACACAGTCCTGCATGCTTCCCGGGCATGGGCTGGGACGTGGCATGGGGGCTGGTAATGACGTAGGCTCTGAATTTTTGGTGCCTGCTTTGGGAGCCTTGCTTCAGCAGGATGGTGCTGTGTGTGTTTACCCATGGGGTACGTGGCTGACCCTAAGGCTGGGGGGCTGCCCTGTGGCTCAGGGAGAAAAAGCAGGATCATTTGGGATCCCAGACATGGCTTTGCAGCAGGTTTGTTAGGGAGCTTGAAGGAAATGAGGAGGAGAGTGGTGGAATAGTGCTGCAGTCTTTTATTTTGGTTTGTTTCTTTCCCTTTCACTGCTGGGAGGAAAGCAGTAATTAATGCAGCTGGATGTTACATGCAGCATTTGCTCTTGGCTCAGACTCCTTCCTAGTACTCAGTTTCCAAACTTAGCACAGCCGGTAGCAGCCGTGTCTTGCAGTTTAGGATCCTTCTTAGGGGGAAAGCTGTTCAGCAGTGAGCTGTGCTCAGCTTTTCTGTTCTAGGTAGACAACCTGAAGATATAACAGCTCTGTTTTAGAATAAAGCGTTTAACCTGCTGGTGGTGCTGCCCAGAGAAGCTGTGCATGCCCCGTTCCTGGAGGTGCTCAAGACCAGCTTGGATGAGGCCCTGGGCAACCTGACCTCGTGGGTGGCATCCCAGCCCGTGGCATGTTTGGAGCTGGGTTGTCTTTAAGGTCCCTTCCACTGCACTGGGTATCATATCTTTACTTGCACTGTTGTATCAGAAAAAGATACCTAAGAATTTGAATTCTTACTTTAAAAAGAGCTTTCAAAAGGTTGCATGCTGGTCTTTGAATAAACCACCAAGATTGATAGGGTAACAGCAAAGGGATAAAAGCATGGCAGAGCTGGGAAGTGATGTTAAATAAGCTAAGCAGTGAGCTGATGAAGGTTATGGCTTTCTTTAATTGCAAGATCCCGAGGTGATGATACTCTGCAACATTTTCTTCCTCAGTGTCTGCAGAAGTCAATCCAGAAAGTGTTGCAGTTAATGAAAGAGCTGACTTTGTGTGTAGATACCGAATGGAACTGCCCTTGCACCGCTCTCATCCTTTACCTTATTTGTCTGACTTGTAATTTTTAGCATGCTGTTAGCAAAGCGATTTCCTAAGTATGTTGACATAAAAAGTAAAAAATTTGAATGTGAACGGGTCAAGAGCCTTGTATGAGGAAGCAAGAACCAGGGGAAAAAATGGAAAATTGTTCTCTCATACCTCCTGGAGGAATGCTTAGGAAAGAACTTTTTTCTCCAGCAAAGTGTAAACATAGCGTGGTTGAAACACTGCCAGTGGACAGTCTTTATACAAAGCAATTAAGTCAGGAAAATAGTTTTGCTACAGCCTGGCTCACCCGAAATATCAGTTATTGTTGATGTCATTGAAATGCTTCTACTGAGTAGGATGGTCTTGATGCTAACTTTTAACTCGGGGTCATATTTTGTTTATACTTTCATCAGCAAGAAGCATAAAGGAACACAGTGTGTGCTCATCCAGAGGCAGCTAACACACTTGGCAATCTTTATAAGAGTATATTTGTCCAGTAAACATGATGTAATAGGATCTAGTGGATTCCCAAATGTAGATGATGTGCTGTAATGGAAATTCTGTTAAGACTTTGGTAATGCTTTAAAATATCTTTTTTTTCAGAGCTTTAAAGTTACTTATTGTCAATGTATGCAATTCATTTTCATTTATCATCTTGTAAAATCTTTCAAGACTAACTTAGTTTCCTTTTTTATAAATTTGCTACTAAGTACAACATGGAAACTGGGAATGTTGAGTCATCTGCAAAAGTTGCTGCTAAATTGCTTTAAAAAATAAAAATCCAATGATGCTGCCTCAATCATTATGCTTAAAATACTGCATCCACTGCTCTGTTGTTGTGGGACATTAATAGGATGAGTAGAAGAAGAGAGTATGTTGATCTCAAGAGTTTTGAGGTCATCCTTTTGTCAAGGGAAAGGTATCCAGCCTTCTAGTCAACCTAAATTTAGTTAATGCTATCCAAGTGAGTAGTTGTCCATGAGATGACTAAAAATTATTTCTGGTTTTCTTGCTTCTGGATGGAAAAACCTTCCAGATATAACAGTTTGTTAAATTTAGTTTTATGAGGGTTGGACTTTGCAACTTTCAACTGGAAGAGACATTGAAATAATGCTATAGGATCTGTGTTAAAACAAAAGCACAACACATGCTGAGTAGCTTCTGCAGTGTTTTTGGTGTAAGCTCAGGAGACTCGGTGCCTAGGAATAGGCACTTAATTTAAAAATAGGTCAGTTGTTGTGGATTGGTAGTTTACGTGTACCATACAAAGCTCATATCAGCTCATTTAAAAAAAAAAAAAAAAGAATAAAAATTACTCTGTCTACTACCAAATGTGAAGTGGTAACAGCCTGCAGACTTGTTCCAATACCAATGATCTTTTTCCTTGCTTTACAGGAAAATCTTCACTGACGATTCAGTTTGTGGAAGGGCAGTTCGTTGATTCATACGATCCAACCATAGAGAACAGTAAGTAAATAACTGATAAGCTGCTCTTCTGTAGCTAGTTTTGTTAGAAGTCGTGATTATGTAAGTGCCTATATAAATAATCTGTACTTTAACATTGCAGCTCATTACTTTAATGTTTAAGTTCAAGTTGAATTAACACAGTAAAATGTTGAGTCTGTGTGTTAGTCTGGAAGTTGGAATGAACTAGTCATCAGTACAAGGTTACTTCTTGACTAACACAATAATTAGGAGTCAGTGGCCATCAGCACATTTTATTCAGGATTATTTTACTGTTTGGAACTAAAAAATCAAACACTGGGAGCTAAAATTCAAACACTGCTTTCTGAAGAACATCTTGCTTTGCTTTAGCAAATCAAGCTTGATAATTTGCCTTTTGACATGAGTGATCTGTCAGTCCTTCTAGGGCTCTCTTAAGCAGTTTCCATCATCCTGTTTTACTTTTAGAGTTATAATACGGTTTGCTTTGAATTAAAACCATTAACAAATGAGATATTGTGCATTAGATTTCAATACTTTAGATCTTGGCAGTAATTGGGATGGGTAGTTTTTCACTGCACTATAAAAATGTGAAATATTTAAAGTAATCTTGTAGTTTTCTGCATGTATGTGGAAGTGATCTGAGATGAAAAAGAGTCAAAGTCTGTCTCCAAAGTGTGGGCAGTGTCTGTATATCTTGTTTTAGTATTTTGACACCTTGGCATGGGCTTGTTTCACCCTTTACAAACTCATGGACAATAGGTTTCTGTAGCAAAACTCCTGTGCTCTCTAGTTGTGTGTCTATCACTGGTAGCATTTCTTAACTATATGAAAAAAGACTCATTTAAAACATCACACCCAGAGCTACTTTATGCCTGGATTTGGTTAGAATCTCTGTTGGCTACTGAGCTTGATTACATATGTGTGGATAATTGAGCTGTGCATCAATTCTGCAATTATTTGGCACTTCTAGTTGGCAGCACTCACTCTCTCGGGGTGCAGAACATTAAGTATGTCATGGCCATGAAAACTTTGGGCATGGGGACATCTTGAAAAAGCTCAACAGTTCGCATGATTTCATGCTTGTTCAGAAAACAAACAGCATTATTCTTTTGGCGCAAGTCTTGTGATCTGCGGTATCGCTGGAGGAATTTGCTCTCTGAAAGGTAGAGAATTGAAGGTCCCTTCTGGCTTCAGAATGTGTCACTGGGAAGTAGGGGTTGAAAACCTACAAGATGTGCCCCGAGGTTCAAAACAGTAGGAAGTCTGTCCTAGTATAAAATGCTTCTTTTGAATTAAGTTCTTAATCTTTCACACGCTTTTTCTAAATATGATTTCTTAATCAGTCAAGTCTTTTGACACCTCTAGCAGTATGCTTCTGATTCTGTGTGAGGTCATAAGGCATGATATGTGTAATCAACTCTCTATGCTTTCCCTGCATTTAATTTTGAATCCAATTAACAATACTGAGAAAGGAGAAATCCAAGTTCATGTAGAAGGGATGATGATGAAGGCTGTTGCATTTCTTCAGTGCTTTAAAGCAGGCTGTAAAACCTTCTAACTTTCATATAGTGATCGGGGGGAAAAAATACAGGCTGAAGAGTGGTCTGGCCTATGTGATTTCTGTTTTGTCTCCAAAAATTGTTATTGATAATGATCAAAATATTTTAACAGCACTGATGAGAGGGTAGGAAACTGCAGTACTGCTGGTAGCTTGGTCTTTACGATTTTTGTCCTCAAATAATATACCTTGCATGAGAAATTGAGTCTAAAATTAAACTGCACAGAAAGCAAGCTATAGTTAAGCTCTCCCAGGAACAGGATGCATAGAGTGTAAGCCTTAAACTATAAGAACATGACCTAATATTCCAGCAGTTTCCTTTTCCAATGTAAAAATCTTTACCTTCTTTGGAAGTGGTGCAGGGAAAATAAGCTGCATCGGGTTTCACTTAATGTTCATTAAAGTCAGCACTTCTCTGCTGCATTTTGCTTTGTTTATATTACATTAGAACCAGAAAAGTTAGTTTATCTAAGTTAATAAGCATGTTGAATTCAGTTGCTTCTAGTAAACTTGTGCATCGGGAAGAGTAACTTGTGCCATTTTGTGGCAGCAGCGGAGGTGAGTTAATTGCTTAGCAAAATAGAATTTCCTCTTCCTAATGTCCAAATGAGAGTGACGCTGTGATGGGTGGCTGTTCTGGAGACAGCCAGGTTGAGAAACCAGTGGAACAATTACGTGAGGAAATCGTGGAAAGAGAAGCAAAACCACTGCAGAGCAGGAGTGCGTGGAAGGAGTCCGTGTGGATGCGGAGCTGGCTGGAGGCAGATGAGCTCAGGCGTTCTATCGGGCGCTTCCCCAAAGACCAGAAGAATTTTAAACTCTTAAATCTTTATTGGACTAACACCAAAAATCTTAATTTGGAGCTCAAAGCAAATAGGTCAGAAGGAATTGAAAATGAAGACAATGTGCCTACAGCTCCCCCTGCCCCCGTCTTTGCAGGGATCTCTTCGGTTATCATTAATTCAGTGACTTTGTGTTGCAGGAAAGCTGCATCTTGCCTGCATCTCAGCAATATTTTCTCCAGCAAACCATTTTCTCCAGTCTTCCTCTAGGGTCTTTCTATCTCCCCTCCCTCTTTTTTTTTTTTTTTTTTTTTTTTAATACAATGGTGATTAAAAGTGTATTAGAAAGGGGAGGGGGCTGGAGGCACCTGGTAGCTGTGGAGCTAATACACAGAGGTTTGGATGGGCTGCTAGAAGCACCCTTAAGGCTCAGCTTCTCCCAGGTGTGTCAAGCCAGCTGCGCTTGAAGGTGACAGTCTGCTGCTTCCCAGAAGTTGCTGCTGAGTGGACTTCTTGGGTGTAAATGAGGCTTCTGAGAAAAACCCAAAATAGCTCTGTTGTATTACACATCTCGGTGTTATAAAAGATGTCCTGAGGGATTCATGATAGGCACTGACCTTGGATTAAAGATAATTAGCAAGGTTTGCAAAAGGTAGGAAGTGATGAACCCTAATAAGCTGGATGCATTTACCAGCCAGGAGCTCTGGGAATCGTTTCACACCACTGCCCTACCTCTTATTCAGTGGAGGTGTTGGTCTGAAAGCGCATTCATAAGCCTGGTACGCGTTTCTTACCATAATGGCTTGCTCTCACAGCAGCTGGCACTTGAGTTGCATGTGCAAACCACTTCATTCGTGTCAGTGGAACTGAATGGCCTTGGGCCTGGGGAGCAGTGGCCAGAGGTGATGGAGTTGCTGTGGGAGTTACGCTGCTTCTGAGGGACAGCAGCGGTCGGGGCTGTGCTGTGCAGAGCTGTCCCTGACAGCAACGTGGCTTTAGTTCCCTTTGTAGCTCCCCTTAGCTGCATGAATGCATCTGTTTGGAGTCGTGCTGGTCACTCCATCACCCAATTCTGAGTTGCACCAGAGCTGAACCAACCGAAGGTGGGATGGGATGGCAGTTTCTTCACATAACGCCACTTAAGCTGTGTGTTGCAAGCTGTGAGCATCTCCTGTTCTGAGATCTGTGTGCTTCATCGAGCTAAAACAGGCTTCAGCCATGCTTCAGCTGATGAGCAACGTTTCACAGATGGCCGTGTTATGACGCGGACTGCAGAGACTCGTTCTGGTCTGCAGAAATCTCTTCTTGTCATCGCAGGAGGAGCCGTACTGTGCCATGGTGGTGTTACTGGTTGCATTCATCTTGCTTGTAGGCACAGGAGCAAGTAACATGTCCCAGAATGGCTCATGGGTCACTGACCCTCACTAAATACAGCTGCAGGTTTTTCCTGAGATGTAATTCTTACCAGGGGTGTTCTTAAAAAGCTTCAGCAAAGACCAGGGAGTTGTTAATTCTGACAGCATCAGGAGAGGTTTGTGCTGCCCAAGTAAGCTGTTCCTGGTGCTGGAAGTCTCCGTGCTGAGCTAACAGTTCTCATCACGCAGCCTGTGGTGACTCCTCCACCGTTTCCCTTCCCCAGCTCTGTCACAGTTTGCTTTTGGTACTGATGATGATGGTGTCTCTGCTGCTCGGTCTATTCTAGGCTTCCAGAATAGGCTGAAAAAGCTGCCATCTGTCTCCGTCCCTTTTTAAATATTAACTTCATGGGGCTCTTGAAACTAGTTTGATTACAGAGCACTTTGATGTGTGTGTGAGGTGTCAAGAGACCGGAGAGAGGCTGTTACTGTTCGGGTACCTGTTAATGCAGGACATCCCTCCAGGTGAGGCTGTTTTCCCTCACGCTTGAAGCAGTGACACTGCGTATGGCAGCCCTGCACGTTAGCATCTGTTCCAGCAAGCTGTGGCTTCTGTCCCTGCCACAGCAAAAAGCTTTTGTGGATTTCTGCTTCCTAACCTCTGGGGATAGGCGGGATCTGGTAGGAGCTTTTCTTGAGGCTTCATTCAAATTGCACTTCTTGGTATTGTGATGGAAACTGCACGCACACTCCGGGCTGTGTGTGGACATCCTGTGTTAGTTTGGCTTTGCTTTGTTTGAGTTGCCCCTTTTTAAAAAGGATGCTTGGATTTACTAGGGCCGAAACTGAGAGTTTCGGATATTTCGGCGTGGAGTCAGCCCATTTACTCGAGATAATGCGTGCGTTGTGGCGGCTTGTCAGGGCAGCAAGTGCTGGCGGGGAGGAGGAAAGCTGGCGAACTTCAGCTTCTAGGGGAGCCTGTACGAGACACAGAAGGCGTGGGCAGGAGACTGCTCAGCTGGATCGAGAACAATCACCCTTGGCTGGCCAGTTCAGGGCACGATCAGCGTGTCGCTGCAGCGTTGGCTTTTTCCCCGGTTGTCATTGCAAGGAAAGTTGAAGCTTCTCGTGACTTAATACCTGGGAAAATTTCCTTATCCAGGAGACAACACAAACCTTATTCGGTGTATTTGTACTGTGCCATTTCTGTGTGTTACAGTCCGACGCTAAGGGCAAAACGAAGCTCTGGAGCTGGCTCTGTGCTCTGCTTGCTCCGTGTAGTGCTCGGTAGCACATCATGCCACAAGAGCTCTGACACGCTTTGCTTTTGCAGTTGCATAATACAAACACTGAGTAAGGTTCCTCAGCTCGCAGTGCGTTGGCATCTCATAAATCCCGGGAAGAGAAGCAATTCTCATCTCTCAGGAACTGAATGTACTTCCTGACTGAGGACTAAACAGACTGGTAGCTACAGCAAATGTGCAAGCACAGTGGTGAGCTGCTAGCTACATTCCCATTATTTAGCTTTAGCATATTCATAAGCTAGGCTGTGTGTGTCTTAGCCTCCAAAGAGTTTTTTTAATGCAGATCATTTACCTCGTGGTATTTACATTTAGGAAATTGATCTTGCTAAACTACTTGGAAACTGGGGAGAATACCCTATATTAAGTTCAAAGTTGGCTTTGATGCTAATTGTATGGAAGTGTCTCATGTTACCACAAATTACAGTTGCCTGGAAGTCTCTTTGAAATGCATGTAAAAAGCTTTTTTTGCTCTTCATTTTTAAGTAACTCTGAAGGAAGAACTGCTGCGTGCAGCATAAGAATCTTTTTGAAGAATCTTTTGAAATTTGAAATTTTAAAGTAATTTTCTGAGGTTCAATACCAAAAATGTGCTAGTTGAAATTACAGCAATCTGATCTAGCTACTTTAAAGTCTCTAACAAAAGCTCTTTTTCTTAACCTTTCAGCTGACAACGGCACAGATAAGTGACTTCTGATCCCTTCCTTGTTCATAATTCTGAAATGTGTGTGTGTTTCTTGTTTCTTCCAGCTTTTACAAAATTGATCACAGTAAATGGCCAAGAATATCATCTTCAGCTGGTTGACACTGCTGGCCAAGTAAGTAATCCTTCTTCCTTTGAATCGTTGATCAGAGATAAGGCAATGGCTGTTCATACTCCTGAAGAGCGAAGTTGGTTGCGACGATGCGTTCAAAGCTGAAGTTCAGCTTCTAACTTAGTCCCCAGGGAGCTGCGTGGTATTTATGTAAGGGCTTTTTTTTCCTGTCTATTGAAATTGAAACAGTAGCTAGTGGTTAAAGTACATATGCCTAAAAAAGTGAAGAACAACCTGCTTTAACTCTGATGTACCAGAAGGGCTAAAATCTGGACTAAACTGGTCCATAACCCAGTTTGATAACCCACAGGGAAGCTTTCCACGACTTTCTCCCGTTTGTGGTCTCCAGCTACAACACACCACGACTGTGTCCATGAAATAGTCACACAGAGTAGGCAGCAATGCGTGTAGGTAGTGCTTACTGGGCTGCCCATAAACGACTGCAGTTTGTTTACATTTTTGAGTAAGTGATGGTTCCTTGCATGCTTCTGAGCTTGGTGTAATGGCAGGGAGTGCAGGAGGAGACAATAAACAACCATCCTGTGGCATGGTCAGTAGCTTCATGAAATAAAGGTGGTCATTACACAGTGTTGCTTGGCAGCAATTGCAGGTGAGAGTGCACGTTCCACACATAGCAGTGCTCCATCTTTTGAGAAACTGTGTATTTAAAAAAAGAAAAGGGACTGATAGATCCTTGTATTGCTACCCTAAACTTTTTATTGGTTACGTGTGCTTAGCTTCTGTGAGTTCTGGGCTTGTGCTTTTTGGTTTTTGCAAGCTGACCAGTGTTAAACAGTCTTAAGTGCTATCACCACATTTCACCAAGACTTGAAAGCTGCAGGACACTTGCTTAGAGCTGGGAGGGTATTCAGAAGGGCTGTGACCTTCTAGGTATGTTTGATCACCTTCTTTGAAGAGAACTACATGATTTAAGAATAACCACACCTTATTTTTATATGCTGTTAATTTGTGGTGTTAATCAGCAATGCTGTAATCTGTCAGAGGGATTAGAAACAATATTGACCACACGTGCTGGGGCAAGTGGTGTTTGATGGGAATATTCTGCAGAGGAGAGTGAAGTTGAGGGATGGGCGGGCTGTGAGCAGCAGAGCAAGCCCCGTAGGCTTCACTTCGTGTGCATCTCAAACTTGTAGCATGGTAATGAAGGTAAAAATTTCTCTTTGAAAAAGAGAAGGCCTTCTCAGAAGGCAGCATGACTTCACCAGTGATATGTCTCTGTTGCTGATGTTTATTTTCAGGGTTGTTTTAATGTAAATTGAAATTGTGAAACTAACATTATACCTAGAGTTATATCTAGGTTTGTTTTGTTGCTTGGCAAAGCTTTTAATTTGACCTGCAAGTCCCAGGAAGCATAGCAGGCTTTTTAACTAACAAGCTAAAAATTAGTTTTCTTGGTTAATCTTTTTTTGTCTTGTGCATCTTTACCTTTCGTGGTTCCATATTCAGATTTATGTAGTTCATTTAAACAGAAGTCTTGGTGTGGGGTCACAAAACAGGAGTATAAATCAAATTCAAACTGTAGCAATCCAGGGTAATTCCAAATAAAGGCAAATAGCTACAGAATTGCACTTTCACCTGTTTTGCATGCAGGCCAGCTCAGACCCGTTCTGTATTGACTTTTGGATTACACAGCCAGCAGAAGTGGTGGTTTGGCATTTAAGTAAGGATGGGGGAAGGTCACCCTCAATATGTAGCGTTAAAGGCAAAGGGCAGCACCTTTTGCAGGTGTCATTCTCCAAAACTTTTTTTTGGCTGAATCTGTGAAGTTAATTTATGAAAGGCTTTCCTCCCATTCGCTAGTTAAGGAAGTTTGATTCCTTTTAGCTGTCTAGATTTCAGCTGTGTAACTGCACTGCTCCATCTGTTCAGTCGTGACAACATACAGTGAGGTCGTGATCTTAAGCTAAAATTAACATCGTTAGAAACACAGGTTAAAAATTTGAGAACCCATACAGTAAGATGTATAGCTCGTGTCAAAATGTAAATGTTACCTGGGAACTGCTACTGCAGTCTTTCAATCTAGATATTTAACATGGGATTCGTTTTACTTCTGTGTTGTGTTTTTCTGCAGTATATCAATCTGTTTCATTTACCTAGTTGGTCATTTCCTTTTCTATAGGGGTAGTAAGTTTAGAAATTAAGTGTCTGAGTTGGTGTTTTTGTTTTTATTGTTGCTGTTTTTCTATGAAACATTTGCTGTATAAAGGAAACTTCCATTTGGCATGAAGCAACTAATAATTGTAGTTGGTCCATCTACGGTTGATAAGCATGCGTTAGTTGGTAAGCCACAGCTACTTACTTCCTAACGGACCCCTTGGGTAATTTAGATGTGGTCATTGCCACTTGGCAGTTTTGAAGTGCCAGATCCTGTCTTCAGCTGTTGAAATTTAGAATTTGATTGAAATGTATCACTAGCAAGATAAGAAGCATAATTGATAATTAGCGGTAGGACAGAGTGGATGTTTTGTACTAGTGTAAACTGATAATTAAGCGGGGTAAGAGGATTGGGAATAGCTTTGGCTGATCCATAGTCTTAGAGGGAATAAAGAAAAAAGCTGTAGAGTATACAGACTAACAGATTAACTAAGCTTGTGTCCCAGGTTTGCCTTCCTTTCTCTTAATTTGGTAACGAAGCCACATCTGGCATCATGATGAAAAAAATGTCGTTGTGAAAGCACTACATGTCCAAAAAGGTCCTGTTCCTCATGTCTTACAAATATGAATGAAAACTGCCCTTGATCTACTAGCATCAAGCTCTCAACTGTGGCAGTAAGCAACTATAAATGCTATATTCTTTCTACAGGATGAATACTCCATATTTCCTCAGACGTACTCCATAGACATCAATGGCTACATTCTTGTTTATTCAGTCACGTCAATAAAAAGGTAATAAAATCTGTTGTGTTCTAATAGTTCGGATATTAACCAGATACACACAAAGAAAATATAGCACAGGCAAGAGCTGAACGCAGAATGTAATTCATTTAATCTCCCTTTCCCTTAGAAGTATAATGGAAATAAGAATGTTTTTGCAGAAATTTCCCCTCAGATCCAAATGTCACAGATACTTTGCAGACAGATACAAAAGGTACTGTGTAAGAAGCGAGGCAGTGCTGAACTGTGTAGATTGAAGTGTAAGTAAAAGTACCTGGACTAGTACCAGGACTAAACAGTTCATTGCTGGAGCATGTGTTACAAAGATGGAGTTGAACACGATCTAAGAGGGCACTGTACATTAGTGTGAAGAGCCCAGCTGGTTGTTAGGTCTTGTCCTAGCAGCTTGTTACAGTACTGAGATTTCTTTGGCTTCCTGTCTTGGCTTGTTCTGGTTAACCATCAAAAACTTTGATATAAATAGCAGTATGAGATGTTTGGCCTGTAGACTCACTCAAATGCCTTATTTGACAAATTTCCCAGGGCATCTGGTTTGTCCTCACTGTTGCCTGTAGTCAGCTCTCACATGAGGACAGACTGTCAGAGCTGGAGTCATTTACTTGTACCAAGTGTCTCAACCTTCTTAAGGTTTTGTCTTCTGCTGTTATTTTGTGCATTCCCTTTGTTGTTCTTGATTTCAGTGCTGGTCATTCTTGAATTAGTCTTAATTTTCTAATGCAGTACAGCATCTTCATTATGGCATTATTTTTGTTTGTTAACAATTACTTTAAGACCTGAAGCCTTTTGCTTGCTTCAGGTAGAAGAAAAGGTAATGTTTCCCTTCTACTTCTAAGCTAATAAACTTTTTTCAAGTGCTGAAGCATTCCAAATCTTTTCCTTTAAAGCAGACAGAACAGGTCATCCCTTTAGTAAGACCATCATAAATTGCAAGTAAAACAGCTTGCTTATTGGCTCTTCTGTGCTTCTTGAAGAAGTGACACGGTCTGGTTATAAACTTCAGTTGCTTTTAAGGTCTTTAATGCTGAACGGATTTTCAGTACTTCATTCTTGGTTTTCATCTTTAGTTCTGAAGAAGTGAACAGGAAGCATGTGTGATCTGGAGGAAATGCAACAGATGTTGGGCTTTCATGTGTATCTAGATACACTGCTTTTTCTTTTTTCTTCCCTTAATCGGAGGTTCATTGTTGGCGCTGAGTAACCTGTATAAAATAGGACTTAGCATTCTCAGCCTGAAGTAGAAAACCTTCCACTTCTAAAGTGAAGAGGAAAACGTTCATTGGTGTGTGGTATTCTTGGGACAAAAGTGTCTTTAACCAAAGTCACTCAGATAAAGGAACGAGAGTCTGCTTTCTGTGGTAGCATTCAAACAGCTAAAATAGAAATCAAATTATGGTGAAAATACTAATACATATTAAGATATGTAGCTATATTATCTACTGTAGGTAGATAGTATATTCCTTAGTATTTTATTCTTGATCCAACTTAATCCAAGTTTTTTTTCCCTTTGAATTACAAAGTATTGATGATCCCTTATTGTTCAGATCCTTGTCTTCAGTATCAAGACAGTGTTTAGGCAGAATAGATTTTGCAGGGTAGGCTGGTAGCTTTGACTTTCCCAGGCAATCAGATTACAGTTGCCATCTCTCTTGATTTCCGCCAAAGTGTATGTATTGATCTGAGTATTGATTGAGCTGGGTGTGAGCTTTGACAGCAAACTTAATAGAAATGTCCTTTTAAAGTGATTGTCTTCCCTACTGATCTCCACTGGGAAGTTTAAAATGGGACTTGAGTAAAAACTAATGACCTACATTTTTAATATTCCCAGACTCTCAGCTGCAAGGTTACTGGAGGCCTTTTGCTCTAGTTTAAATTCCAATTTTGTATCTTGCCTCTGTTCCACGATTTTGTATAGGACATCTCTCTGACAGCCAGTAATTTTTTGTTGTATTTCACACATTGAGCTGTTTCCCATAACCCTGTTTGCTTGGCAGGACCTTGGAAAGGTCCTCTTATGCTCTCTGCACCTCTTGCTATTTCAAGACTTGATGTGATGATGCTCTTTTTTGGGTTGATCAATGTCTGTCTTAAATTATACCCTTGTTCCTTTTAGCCTTATTAATTTGGAAAGCTTTCTAGAACATTAAATCGATCTGGTCAAGCTAGTTTCATTCCAGGTAGTTCTTAGCAGCTTGTATCTGTGTGTCAGAATCATGTCCAGGCTTAAATAGCACTTCTTTCAGTTTTCACCTTGATCTATTAATAAAGATCAGCTGTTTATCCTTAGTCTTTTTTTAAACTAAAAACGGAGCTCTTGAACTAGACTAGATAAGCAGAAGGACAGAACTGGGAAATGAAGACCCGAGGGTGGGTTGGTCTATAGGGTATTCAGTAGAATCATTCACTGGAACCACAGGTGAGGTCTTCCCACTGAGCTGTGCAGTGGCATGGCGTTTTCCTAGCTATACTGACAGCAACATGCATAATAGTGGAAGGAAAAAAGTGATTGTATTAGATTTGTGACTCAGTTATCTTGTGGCTAGCATGCTAGATCTTTCCTGTTGCTTCACATGAACTGAGAAACAGTCTTGTAGTCTGTATCAGATTTTTTTTGTTCTTTCAGTTTGCAGGGTCATCTAATTTCATATGTAGCGATGCATCTGAACTGAACTTTGTCACAACCAAACTGTTTAAATCTTTCTTTTGAAGTAGTTAGAACACGAAAGCTCAAGACCAAAATTTCATTTCTTTCCCTTTCAGCATAAGTTCTTTATAACCCTGAAGACCTTCCATTGATTCCACTTCTTTAATGTAGTCTGTACTATTTGAGTTACTAACAGCAAGTTGAACGAGTTGTGCCACGCTCAGTCACTATTTTTCTTTGCAAAGTGCTCATTTTCTCCATAGGATATACTAGAACTAATACCTAAACATAGAGGGTGAGTAGAACTCAACACTTCAAGAATTATTTCTGAAGTATCCCAAACTGAATCTTAATTGACATAAAATTCTTCTTAACTATGGTAGTTTATTGCTCCAGAAGTGGGAAGTTCTAGTGATTCAAATAGCTTGAATAGTGTCTTCAGGCACCAGTTCTTTGAGAACTTGGAGTTAGAAATATGTTTGAGGGTTGCTCTGCTCTTAAGCGTTTCAGTTCTAATTAAAATGCAGCACAAGTCAAGGCGCTGCTTGTAGCTAACGAGCTTGGAAGTTGGAGAAGTTTCAGTCGCTTTTTTTGTTGTGTAGCTGTGTGTCTGGCCTGTGAACCTGTGCCTCTCTCTTAAATCTGAATTGTGCACTTCATGTACCAGCATTTTTTCCATAATGTAATTAGAGGAGCGCAACATCTGCTCTTTAACCCTGTTTATAGCTTGTTCTCAAAAGTGCTAAATGTCAAATGCAGGGGATTTTCTTAGTGGGATTTTAGGCTTCTCAGCATTTCACAGTACTGTTCCTTATCTCCAGCCATGCAGACTTCATCTGTACGGTAGGGGAACTGACAAGTATCTGAATAACCACGGTTTCAATACCATCTTGCTGATCAGTTTACTTCCTTTCTGTAGAAGATTGGAATTCAGGCTTCTCTTGGCTTTCACGTAAATAAAACCAAAGAATTCTGTAGGAGCTAACTTCCTGTATAAACTAAAATGCTGTATTTTTTCATGGTGGATTATGCTTAACCAAATAACTTTTCTTGTTATTAACTTTTTCTTTGAAACTCTGCTTTAATTTGGCATGCTCATCCAGGCTTGTTGGACGCGAGTAGTTAAACTTCTTACTGCAGATACAAACCAGTTGGGGATATGGGGCTTTTAGCACTCGTATGTTAGACACATCAGGCCTGGGTAATGTGGTTTATTTCTGCACGTATCATAACTGGGGAGGCTGTAATGACAGGCATAGCCTAGTCTTTGTTGCTGCCTCTAGAACCATTTGGTCTGTTGTACACAAATCAGTGACACTTTCAGCATCTTTGTAGTTTTGCCACTATACACAGAGTGAGCATATCTACATATGCATTTAATTGCTTGTGTATTGGGTATTAAGGATAAACATTGGAGTGCATGTGTGACTTCATCCCTTTATTTTGCAGTTTTGAAGTGATAAAAGTTATCCATGGCAAGTTATTGGATATGGTGGGAAAAGTCCAGTAAGTAGTGACACTTTCATCTCATTTCACTGCAGGCATGTTACTAGTACTTTGTTCAGTATACTATAACTGTGCTGAAGTTCTGAACTTTCTTTCACAGAATACCCATTATGCTGGTTGGAAATAAAAAAGACCTGCATATGGAACGGTATGTGAACTCCAGTATGTGTGAAATGCAAGCCAGCAGCCGGCATTCCTGTGGCTGCAATAGGCTGGTTTTGTTCTTGGCTTTCCAGAACTAAAGTCAAAATGTAGGTTAAAACAAGGTACTGGCAAAGGATTCGTGTCCAGAATGTGAACTAGGAGCCAGGAGCTTTTGTTGTAATTTTTTTTGTAATTTTTTGTTGTTGACTCTTGCTGTAAGGTTCCAAAGACAGTGGCTTTACCCTTTCATCAAAACAAGTAACAGAAGTGTGTTTTCCAACCATAAAAGATGAGATGATGCTACAGACTAGGGAACAACTCAGGGCTTCGGGACAGCTGCTTTTCTCAGTCCCACAGTTCTACCTGGCCCAGTTGTGTGTTTGACAGCAGACAGCATCAAGTGCTCAGAATCAGACTTCACAAAACATTCCTGTTATATCTGCATTTATGTGCTTCAGTACTGTGAAGGCTTTCCTGCAGTTTCAAATTCCAATTCTGCTGTGGATTATAAAAAGATATTTTTTCTTTTCTATCAGGGTGATCAGCTATGAAGAAGGGAAAGCTTTAGCAGAATCCTGGAATGCAGCTTTCTTGGAATCTTCTGCTAAAGAAAATCAGGTAACAGATTTAAGATCTATTTTGAATCGCAGCTTAATGGGATGTCTCCGAGTTTCACTTAATGCAGGAAGCTGAAGTATTTGCATGTACTGTACAGACACTTTGTGTAGATTGTTGGAAACAAAATGGATGTCTGCATTCAGGTTTGGGTATACGATTCTTTTGGTGCAACTGTAAATGTGAGGGTGAAATGAAGAACTGAAAGTTAAGCTTCACTGAACATAGCAGAACAGTTAGTGGCACACTAAGCCTCACGTATCTGTGCAGTGGGTGGGTGGGACAGGATCTGTGATCTGCTGCAGTTACCTTAAATTAGGAACTCATTGCTATTGTGGAGGAATAAGTTGGTATAAGGGGGTGAACCTCATGTTTTCAGGTCTAGGCAAGACTCAGTCCCTCTAATAAGGGTAATAATGGTTTCACAGGCCCATGTCTAACACTTTGCTGATTTGTCTACAGCAGAGGCTGTCAGAATGATAGAATAGCGGTGAAGTTGCACAATCTGTCCAATGTAGCCGGCATACATTTATTCCTGCTGGCTTCCTATCATGAAAGTTTAATTATGTGTTAAATAACATCTTATTTTTTGTGCTGTAACTTACTTTAAAATGCCTTCTGAATCTCTTCGGGTTTTTGAATTTGTTCTTGTGGCTGTTAATAACACTTTGTCATTGATTTGACACCCTACATATTCAAGCTACAAGAACCTGCTGGTTTGGGCTTGAAGTAATGAAAAACTTCATTTTCATTTCAAGAGGGTTGTGTCTCTTTTTCATTTTTGTCTCAACAGCATTAAAATTTCTGCTTTTTGCAACTATGAACATACAATAGGGTCAAAAGGACGCTGTCAGGCTAGTTCTAAACAAATGAGTCCTTATGCAGAAGAAATGCTTACGTTGTCTCATTTTTAACTTAGCATATCACATCCTTGTACTCCTTGATAACATCAGCAGAATCAAAAGGGCAATCCTACAACTAGAACAGCACCTGTTTAAGCAGCCTTTCTTTCCCTCTCTGTGTCCCCAGAAGCAAAACAAACAGCTCTTGTCTGATAATTTGTAGAACTACTGACAATAGACGCTTGTGTAAAGTTAGATTTTCCCTGAAAGAAAGTCCAGATTTTTTTTCTCCAGATACAGAATATTTGGAATTAGGAACTTCTGTTTCTGGCTAAGATTTGCACTAACCTTGTCAAATCTGGGTATGATGAAAGCATGGAATTTCTCAATATCCTCTCTACTCCTGGAGAGCTTCAAACGCATACCCACAGAAACTACAGAAGAAGAATAAATCAGTTAAAAGAATTTCTTTTTTTTTTAAAAAAAAAAAAAAAAAACAAACTGTTTATCTGGAGTAGGCAAAATTATTCTCTGTACTTTTCTTTTTTGGCATATGTTCACAATCTGTAACAGTGCAGTAGTGTATATTTTACAAAATATCTTTTCAATAACTTTCTGCAGTTTGTATTGTCTTGGTTTAAAAAAAAAACAACAAAGCTGGGTATATTTATGCAAAGAAGCTACGAGCTTTATATGATGCTTGGCATGCCTTGCATATTAAACTGCTGCACTAACAAAGTCCCATTGACTGCCGTGTATTTGTGTCTGTCTTAGTCTAAGAGTCCTGCACCGAGTTATGCAGCTCACTGAAATTCGCATAGCAAACTCGTAGGCTTCAGGGAAATCAGAGTGGCAATTGTCAGATACTCAAGCTTGTTCCCTACAAATCCCAAGTGGAGTCAGAAGTTTTATTTCTAGATGTCAAAATTGTTCTTACCAGGTTGTTCTGTCAGCGTGATCCATCAGGACACAGATCACTGGGTAGTGCAGGTCATTAAAATTGCAACTGCTGACCCTTTTGGAGTTCAAAAGCAGGTTTTTGGGAACAGGTGCTTGAATACAATTCCTCCTTTGTGTAGAAAGGGAAGTACAGTGGTAAGGTCGTGCCTCCTGTGTAATACACCTGGTAAATTGGGCTGACTTCAGGAGTTAGGGAGATAATTTGTCACTTTTGTGCCCACAACGTGTGGCTGATTTTAGGCTATCTCATGTGCTTCCTTTGGGGGTTTGGGATGTACAGAAGACTGAAGCAGCCCAGAACTGGGGCAGCTGTCCTGGTCTTCATGCAAATAGCTGCTGAGGAATGCTTGTTGTTGAAGGAGGTGGCTGATTGTGCTTTGAAAGCAAAGTATAAAGTCTACAGCAATGAGGTTCTGGGGAAAAGGAGACACCAGGCAGGTAGCAAAATGGGACACTGTCTTTTCCTTGACTTATACCACAGACACTTCTGAACTCATGCGTTTCCTCCCCAAAAATCCTGATATAGCAAGACCAAACCATCTCGTACGCGGGCTTCAGGGGAGAATGTCTCTTCCTACTCTGAAACCATCTCTGGTTTGGGGCGAGGCAGGGGAGGCAAAAGGTTTATTTTGAATGTAGTAACAAGGTTTATTGTCATGCTTTAGTGCTGAATGTTCACCTTAAGTCAACATCACTTGGCAGCAACTTGTTCTTGGAGGTTCATCCAGATCTTTTCGTGTCCTGCCTTGGTACAGCAAATATAACTTGCCTTCCAAAACTGCATCAGATTGTTTTTACTTTACAGAAAGCTAATTTGATGTGTAAAGGGATGAGCTGGACTAGACTGGAGTTTCAGAATGTCAGCAGAGAGCTCAGACCTTCCTGGGTGAGGGGGACCCTGTTAATTCTCTCTGAAATCTATCCACGCGTATTTGGTGGATGTGAGCAGAGTGACAACCTCTATCTGCTGTGCTGGCTGCAGTTGGTTTGGTACATGGTGTCCTTCACAGCAGTGAGGAGAGCAGGCCTCCTTGCTGCAGAGAGACAACAGACTCCTGGCTGCTTCAGGTTTGGCCAACACAGTCTATCCTTTACAACAGCTCTGTTTGGAAGGAACTGCTGAAACCAGAGAAGGTGTTCCACATTGCAAGTTCTGATAGCAGAGGCTCTTCGCCCCCTAAAGGGGGGTGGGAGAGCGTTGACTCATCTCTCTTCCTCTGCGTTCACCCATAAAATCCTGTCTGGAGCATCTGTGGGAGTTCTAGGAGCGTATCCATACTGTCTTAGGCAATGAAAATAGTTGTGCAGATGAACAGAATCCAACTGTACCTGTTCTGCCAGGAGTTGCCAAAAGATACCGCATCCATGAAACGGCGTGGCTTTGAATAAATGGAAAGCAGGAGAGACAAAGATCTGAGCTGGCGTGAAGATAAATGGTGGTGGCTGGTGAGAGTTCCCCAGGTCAAATCTATTTTAGGCTCTGTATCACCTCCTCGAGACTCTGGTGGCCTGGTAAGGCTTTCAGAGGAGTCTGTGTATATCAGCAACATTTCAGTCATCTGGGGAAATCCCTAGTCTTTGAGAAGGCAATTCTGGGACTCGATGGAAAAGATGACTTTCAAATTTCTGCTACTGGCTAGAAAATATTAACCAGATTAAGTAAGTGCTTCCTACAAAGCAGGGATTTTAGATTTTTTTTCCATGCAAGCACACTGTAAAACAACACACCTCCAAGGGTTTGAGGGAATCAGCTATCGTTTAAGCAACATGAGGCTTATGGATCGTGTCCTCTTGAGCTGTGGGCTGGAAGCCAGCATCAGATATTAAATCTCTTTTCTGGCCCCTAAATGTGCTTGTTGCGTTTTCTCAAGCTGCTCAGTAAGCACTGGGTATGTTGAACTGCGTTGTGTCTGCTGGGCTAACTTAGGAGCTTCGACTCTAAAAAGTGGAATTCCCTACTTCGTTCCTCCTAAGTCATAGTGTAGTACTTCTTAATCCCAGTGCAATAAATGGCAATGCTCTGAAACACAATCAGAATCCAAATTGGTCCTTAAACCCAGCTGAAGCTGGAAGCCAACTTTTACTGGAAGAACTTAGGGAGTAACAAGCATCCAAGTGTGTCCATCCAGTTGCCTAAAATTCATTAGGTGGACTTACTCGAGAAAGGGGAAAGAAGTAGCAAAAATTAAGAGCAAAAGCTCTCTTAAAAATGAACTGCTTGGACACTACTCTTCAAAAAGAAGCAATTTTACCTTCACCAAGCTCAGAAGCTGCAGTGCTGGGTGTATGCTTCAGAGAGACGTGGGATCTCAGCCTCCCCACGCCCCTCAGGGATCTGGAACGCTCACCTGGGAGGGTGTTTGGGCTGGCAAAGGACTGGGGAGGAAAACAAATCTTCCTCACCTGACTATTGTTCCAGTTCCTTTGCCCAGTTCTCTGCCAAGAACAACTAGGAGCACGAGCAGTGGAGAATTTCCTCTTTAAAATAATGGAACGGGTGCGTATCTGAAAAACACCGCCCAACAAAGGCCGAGCTGACGGTGGCAGCTGTGGGCTGGGGTTTGGTGCTTGGACCTTCCTGTGCTGGCTCCTGGCAGCGCGTTCCTGACTTGGGCAGCAAGAATTCACCTCCTGGGCTGTCCGCTCCTTCATACCATGGGACACACCCGCAGAAGCGGTTGAGCAGTGAGCAAGTGTCTTTTGCACAGGGCAAGGTGCTAAGCTCCCTAGGCAGCGTGCATTGCCCAGGCTGACACCACTCTGCTTCCTCCAGGGAGGAAGCCAGATGGCTTTCTGTAGGCTGGATGTGCCCCGCGCTCTGTAATTGGGCCATATGGAGGCAGATGCACACGAAGCCTGGCTGCATTCTTCATTCCTTGTTGCAAAACAGTTTCCTGCATTGTTTGAAAAGCTCCTTCTAAAATCCTGCAGTGTGTTTGGGCTGAATTGCAAGGCGCTGCAGGTTAACTGGAGGACAGCGATTAAACCTGCTCAGTGAATGTGCATTTTCTGGGAAATGAATTAACGAGCCCCGTGAACTCCTACATCTCAGTGCCTCCAACAGCACGGCTTCGACAAAGAATGTGCAGGGATATAAAGAACTTGTGCATTAAAATGAAAGCATTGAAAATGTCAGCTGTAAGTAACGACATCAGTATGGTGTATTTGCAAATCAGTACAGCACCTATCGTGGACTAAGGGAAACTGCTCAGTACTGGAACCAGTTTGATAGCAACTGGAGTCCTGTCCTTGGCTTTCCTAGAGTCTGATTTGCCCAGGAAATGCGTTGTGCTGGGGTGGACTAATGAGCCACTTGTGCTAGGTTCTGTTTGGATTGCAGAGAAACCTCATTATAGGAAGGAATAATCTATCTCCAGCTGATCAGGTATTTTAAATAGTTCCAGAGATGATACTGTGCACAACTGGTATTAATCTGGGAAACTGTAAAATTCGGTCTAATCTCATTAAGAATGCTTCAAGATTGTTTGGAGCCAGTTTAGTCAATGGGTTTAATTTGGAAATGATCCAGTTAAGAATTATATCCTGTGGAGGCAGAAAAACATCTGTCAGGCCAAAACACATGGTCGTAAATCACAGGGTGCTCTTCTGCATGCTGATTAAAAACAAACAAACACGCTTGAAACTTCAAGTGGCATGTATGGGATGGTCAGGAACCCATTCCAAACTGGAGACGTGTGCTGAAGTCCTGATCATACAGTGAATCTTCAGCTTGGAAATGCTGTAGTGAAGGAAAGGACTTCAGCAGCATGTTTGACTGTTGCATGGATTTATTCTTAAAACTACTTACAGGCAGTCTCAGGGGGGTGTTGGCTGTTGTAGTTTTAGTTCCTGTTTTTTCTGCTGGAGGCTTACATACGGTTTTGAAAGCCTTAAAACCGAGTGCATCCCGGAAAGACCAGATTTATGCTGTAAGGTATTTATTGCAGTGCTTGCAATGTTATCCCAGGCAGCTTTCTATACCCATCTTTCAGTATTTTTTGTTCGTTTGTTTCGATTTAAAGATACCTATACTTAAGCAAGTTCTTCCATAGAATCTCCTGAATCACTCAGGCGCTCTGGCATCCTTTCTTAGTCTCTCTGATTCCATTAAACATATTTCCTTTCTGGCTTTCCATGCAAAGATTTTTAACTGGTACTCTCTAGCATCCCCGTGACAGGGGAGGTGTTGCCCTTCGGAGCCCATGCACACGGTTTCAGTACCTGAGAAGAGCAGAGCCTTTTTCACCAGCCTGTGTGCTAAATGTGGATGGAGGAGACTCATCACAGGCCAGACCAAGGGGAGTTGTTAACAGAAGGTGACTCCTACTCCAAGAGTATTTGCTGCCTTCCCTCTGAAGGGGAGCGGAGGGATGGATGGTGCCTGTGTGCTTCAGAGTCTGCGGAGAGACTGCATAGTCCTTTGTTCCATATGGTGTAAACTGGGGTGTTTGTGTGAGCCCGATCGTGTTAGCAATACTTATCTTACAGTCCCAGCTCTTTAAAATATAAAAACCCCTTTTGTACTCGGAAAGACTTCCTTGAAGAACAGCGGTTAATATTAAACAGTGGCTAGTTTGGCTTGCGTTTCCCTTTGTGGTCTTGCACCATGTCAGATACCATTGTTAACTATAGATGAGAGCATCACGGGGGTGTGGAGGGACTTGGCTCTTCTCACAGATGAAGAATATTAAAGTAACCCTCATACTGGGGTGTGCAAAGTCAGTGCATCGAGCTGAAAAATCTGCCTTGTTCTGTAGTTACTCAGAATCTTAAAGTTGACATGGGGGGAAATGAATTGGTTTGTTCTCTGGGGAAGCAAATCATTGAAATCTTCAATGCTGTTGGTCATTCAGAGCAAATTTATTATTTAAATACTTTAAGTCTGCTTTATATCTTATTAGCTTGCCATCGAGTATGGCTCAGTTTAAGCTTTTTCTCTCTGCAGTGATAGAGAAAATAGTTGAGGATTGTTGTGGAGAAGGGTTTTACGTTGTTCTTCCAAAAGTGTGTGTTCAAAATTGAAATGACCCTATTTTCCCTCTGATTTGGGAATGTGCTTTGGACATGCATTTATCTGTTGGTACAGCCAGTGAAACCACTAAGATATTTTTTTTTTTCAGTGTCTGGTAGTTTCCTCTTACCTACTAATCTCGTTCTCTCTCTTTGCAGACTGCCGTTGATGTTTTTAAGAGGATAATTTTGGAGGCAGAAAAAATCGATGGGGCAGCTTCACAAGGGAAGTCTTCATGCTCAGTAATGTAATTCCACTGCAAAATCTGAAAACACTGGGAATACATTCTACCTGAAGAAGCAAAACTGCCCATTATCTTTAAGGATAAACTATGCTTCTTTTTTTTTTTTTAATTTTATTTTTATTTTTTTCTTCTGTTAACCTGAAAGATAAACAGTTGGTTTGGAGCCTTTCCCTTCAGATTATGTTAAACTCTGACTCCTGTGCAAATGGCTTCACTTCCATTTTCAAATTTTAAGCAATCATATTTTCAATTTATATATTGTATTTCTTAATATTATGACCAAGAATTTTACTGGCATTAATTTTTCAGTGTAGTTTGTTGGTTAGAATAATCATCAAAAATGATGCATATTGTTACACTACTATTAACTAGGCTTGGATATCAGTGTTTCTTTGTGTTAAATGTATACTTGTAAATAAAATAGCTGCAAACCTTAATGTTCTGTTCATAATTTTTTGTTAGTTGCCCCATGTCAGCTTGCTTTTATGAGAAATGTTCACCTACTGGCCTTAAGAGGAAGTGTGGGATCCTTGGAACCAATGGATTGACTCTTGCTTAGGCAATCCCAACCACTTTTTTTTTTTGCTACTAGAACTCCAGGGTGGCCAAATAGCTCAGCTGTATTTTGTGCCCGTTGATGGAAAGGAGATGCAAGGGGACACCTTGGTCTGATGTGGAAGGGAAGACTTGGATTTTGGCAGCCAACCCACGCTGTTTTTTTTTTCTTTGTGTAACTGTAAGAGCTGTGGAGGAAAGGGCACGCAGCTGTCCCAAGGAACAGGCCAGTACGCACCTGCACTGCAGACTGCTCCCGTCGCCTTGTAACTAGGAGCACTTTCAGGATGGAGTGGATTTATCCAGGTTACACGTGTAGACTTGCTAAGGAAACAAAAATGTCACTTAAAATAAATTGCACGTCTTGAACAAATTGATGTGAGTTGTTTATCGTGCATTTCTCTACTTGTGCATCCAGAGAGGTGGGTGGTCTCCTGGCACCTGGCCTTTCACTCTGCCAGTCCCACTGCAGCTCTGGACTGCTTCGCCTAACCACTTGCGAGCTTTTGCTGGGCTTTTGGACTCGGGGCTTGACAAGCCTTAAAACCTTAAGTCTGGAAACAAACGAATTCAACTATGTATTTAAAAAATGTGCAGTTGACCTACTTTGTATAGAAGAAGATGCTGATTTAAGGGAATGTTTTATTAAAGGAAGTGTTTTCTCATGCATTTGTGTCCATTGAAAACTTTTGATTCCTGGCAGGAATAAAATGGAAGGGAAACTTGCAAGGTTTTTGCAACCCAAAGTAGCTTTTGCATTTCATTCTGTTTTAAATGATGCAAATGGAGAAAGTCTCATCTCTTTCTTGTACAGTAGTTACCTATTGAGTACATTGCTCAAACTCCACGTGTGAGATTAACTGGCTTCCTGGACAAAAAGGTTTCTGAAAGCTCCTTTCTGTTACCTAAGTTCTCATACCCTTACAGAAGTTGAAATTCTACTGTACATGGTAGACCACAGCAGTTCAGCACCATCTGTGTGCTCATTCGGGGACAACAACACATGCTTTCATTTCAGAACCAGGATGATATGGGGCTGTGCAGCAGGTTTCCTTCACGAGAATCCAAAACCAAGGTAGTTTGGCTGGTAATGAAGTTGTAGAGCATTCAGAAAATGGTTTTCAGTGGAGCTCAGGGTCAACATGCGTCTGTTTCTTATCATCCTTCATTGCCTGATCCTGAGATGATTTCTTGCACAGCCAGTGTCTTTGGCATTGCATTCGGAACACAGTATCAGGGGAGTTACGAATTCCCCTGATTATTGATATATATGGCTTGAAATAGGCAAGTTTGGTATCTGACTTGCCCCGTATGTTGGCATCAAAAGGTGGAAGTTGGAGTACCAGACACCTCAAACATTCCATATACTAATTAAAAAATAATAATAATAATGCCTACGTGCACTCATAATCTCTGAAGCCTGAAAAGTTGCTGCATTAAAGCCTTAGCAGCTGGCACGCTTAAAGTCTTAAAGGGTGTGGATGAGGAAATGTGCAACTTGATGGTCTTGAGATACCAAAGGCCCTACTTTCAGTGGTGAAGCTTTTCAGGGGAGACCAAATGCTGAGGCAGGTTCTCTGGATTATTTGCAAAGAGGACTTCCAAGAAGTCATTTTACCTAAGAGCTGAAAAAAAAAATGCATCTAACATAGATTGTTTTCTTTGTCCTATGGCTGGCTCGTGCAGTAAGCCACCTGCTGAGGACTGTCATAAATGGTGCACGGGTTAAAAGGTAAATCACGAAGGCAATGGCAAGCTCTCTGGCCTGGGCTAGAAGAAGTTTGGTGCACACTTAATGGGGCCCAGCCTTATTTTTCTGGGATGGTCACTGGCAAGGGTGGATGTGCAAAGATCCTTTTCCTGGGGAGGAAATGAGCAAATTTTAACTTCCAGAAGTCAATGAATAAAAGTGGAAGTAGAAAGGGCGGCCTTATGCCATCACCTTACTGTGTGCTTTCACCTTTTTTAAAAGAAATGTGCTGCCTTAGACCTTTATTGGTACAGAAGTTGTGCTGCTGCCCTGTGCTGGTGTTACGGGCACTGATCCACCCAGGCTTGCTGGGCTTAGGTCGCTAATTAGCGCCGCTGTGCTGCGGCCTCCCGAGAAGGGGAAATCAACAGGATCTAATTAGTCCTTATGTAATCAGTACGGCTCATCTTCAGAGCATGCTGCTAAGGCTGGCTAATCTTCACAACCTCATCTAATAAGGTCAAAATGACTCCCCCTTGGCAGCTGGGGGCCCTGCGGCAGATGTCCTTCACGCACGGGCACGGAGGAGCCGTGGCTGAGCTGGGCCTGGTGCTTGGTGTCCTCAGAGGCCCAGCTGCTCCTGCTATGTCCTGTTCCCTTGTGAAACAAAATGGAAACTGAAGGGATTTCACCAAAAACCTGGGACTTTCTGATGTCTTCCAAAATGAGATCTAAGGCCCAGCTTGTTCTGCTCGCTCGTATGGTCCTGCTTGCTGAGATGTGCAGTGAGCTACACTAATACTGATCCCTGGGCAGACTTTTACTTACAATAAGTCCTTGCTTATTTTTTCAATATCCATCTCTAAAATACAGCTAAAAAATATGTGGCTTAATCCTACCAGCAGGTGCCCACTGTGAGGCACGGGGCTGTTTTTCACAGTGGGACGCTGGCCAGGGCTGAGCCATGATCCTGCTACAGAGTTTGCGCAGGCCTTAGGAGGTTTTTTGGAGCCTGTACTTCTATGTGGTGACACGGGGTGTGGCATGGACACGTAGTAGGTCACCAGGAGCAACCTGGGCTGGTGGGAAGTGTCCTTGCCCATGGCAGGGGGGTGGAACGAGATGGTCTTTAAGGGCCCTTCCAACCCAAACCATTCCGTGAGTCTGTGTCACGGGAGAGGCACCCCTTGTGGTGATGTTGCTGAGGTTACATCTTGGTGCATCTGCAATGAAAAACACATGTAGGTGGCTGTGTAGCTGGTGAAGCCCTATCTAATCAGCTAGAAGTACCTCTTATTGAGGTACATGGAGACATCTGTGAGTTGTTAAGCTTTTGAAAGCAGTCAGATGCAGAAATGTACAGGGCCTGGTCTTACACTGCTTTGCAGATACTCAAAGCTCTTCCAGAAGCCGGAGCGGGGCCCTGTCAGAGGGTGCGAGGCAGCTTCTTGGCTGTTGCTCACCTAATTGCTATCTGCATGGAGTTGCGCTGCCCGTATGAGGTGCCTCTGAGCACGGCCTAACGCTAATCCTGTGCCCATAAACATTCCTGTTGGCGTTTGCTGGGTCACTCCTAAAGCTTTGCCTGCAGGAGTCACACCCCGCTCTCTTGAGGACATTTCTTTGTCAGGGGAGGAGCCAGGTTGGCTTCTCTCTTTACCTCAGGTATTCCAGCAGGATCTTCTCAGCTGCCACGTAACGCAGCAGATCTTCATGGGCCCATCGCTGTCTGCTGAGCAGCACGGAAAAATCCCCACAAAAAGCCCATAAAACACCCCGTCGGAGCAATGTGGTGTGTCACGGCTGTGTTTGGGGCACTGCCCGGCCTGGGCTCATTTCTGCCATGCTCACGGCCTGGTCCTGAGGTGGGACATGGGGATGAGAGAGGGACCACTGGGGAGATGGTCCTGGGTGGTTGTGTGGGGGCTGGTAGCACGGCCACGTCTACTTCTGTGGTAAAACAACGCTCCTTGGGCAAAATTTCTGCTCAGGCCCCAGCCAGGTGGGGTCAGAGAAGATGTCTGTCAGCCCGGTGTCCTGTCATGCCAACGGTGTTGGCCTGGAGGGGACAATGAGAAGACAATGTCCCCAGGTCCACAGCCAGCCACCAGCTGAAGGGCCTTCAGCATCAGGGAGGGGGCTCTGTGATAGCCACAGGGTCTGTGGTAGCCACAAGGGATTTTTCTTTGAGTTTCTTCATGAGCTTTTGTGAGCAGCTGGCACCAGCAGTGTCCCATGGCACCAAGCCCTTCCCTCCTGCATCCCCAACAGAGCCATGGGGTCTCCTGGGGCCTCGTCCTGTCTCTGTCCTGCGCCTCTCAGGTGGGAGACACCAACAGGGAGGACACGTCCTGGATACCAGTGGGTGTTCAGACAGCTCAGCACTTTGGGGCACCTGGAAGCAAATGTCACCTCCAAGCCTGCAGCCACAACCATTGGGCCAAAACTGGGAACAAGGGGAAAACTGGGGGCTGGGACACTTGGGGACAGGCTGGCTGGGCACTGTTTTACCACAGAATTATTCTTTTTTCCCCATTTTTTTCATTTTTTTTTTTATAGCTCCTTATTTTTTCATATCTTTAATGTGCTTTCTCGAAGAAATAGGAAAAAAAGCAGTTGCGCCCTCTTTCTATCTCCTTAAATAGCTTCCCAACCTGCTGGGCAGCTTCTAACAAACTTAACAGCTGGGGTGGAGCCTCAGGACGTCCAGTCCCTGCAGATTTAATTACAGCTTGCACCTTAGGAGACACGGGGAAAATCCCACCGTGAGGCAGGGCCAGGGGAAACCTGGCTTCGTGGTTAGTTTGCTTTTGTGGTTATTTTGGGGTCCTGTTGGCAGTGAGCCTTGTGGGTTTTCCTCTCCGCTCACCGGAGAGCTGATGGAAACAGCTGCAACCATTTTGATAAGGGCACGGTTTGGTGGGGTTTGTTTCTTTGTTAATTAGCCATTTATTCATTATTTATTGGAGATGGAAACATGAGCAGCTTTCCTGCCCCCTTTCCTGTGGCAGCGAGGCAGGTTTGCTTGGGCTGGCCAAAGGATGCACGCGGAGGGGTGGGAGCAACCCACCAGGAAGGGAGTTTTGGGGATGGATTCGAAGCATCCACCCCGTGGGGTTTGTGGGCTGGGGCTTTCCCTGGCTTTTTGTCCTCAGACGTCTGTTAATGGATGTTTTTGTCCCTTGGGCCCAGCCCCTGCCCCAGCAGGGCCACCCAGAGCAGGGTGCCCAGGACCATGGCCAGGCGGCTTTTGGAGCTCTCCAAGGAGGAGACCCCACAGCCTCTGGGCTGCCTGGGCCAGGGCTCTGAGGTGGTGTTTGAGGTGCCAGATGCAGACCATCTACGGTGACAAAGCCATAATTGCAGTTCTTTGGGAAATACTAATTTACAGTCAATGGTATTGCTTAAAAATCCCTCTAATCCTGCCTTATATATGCCCTTTGAAAGGTGAAACACTCATAAAAACAATGATCGTGAGGAACACGGAGTGAGCTTGTGAGCCCAGCCGCTGTATTTCAGAGGAGACGAGGTCCATGGTGTTCAGAGATGACATTTAACAGGGCTGGAAGGTCAACCAAGAAACCACTTCCCTGATGGATGGAGCACAACGTGCTGCTGGTGAGGAGTCTTCCAAGGACATCTGCCACACATCAGTAGTGGGGGAATGCTCTGGGAAAAAGCAGCAGCCGTCTGGTAAAGAAACAGCCATGCTTCGAGTGGCTTCACTCTCCTTATTTTCTTGTTGTCTGCTCTGTATAAGAATAAAATAAAAAAGAAAGAAATCCTTCAAAAAGGAGTAAATGCACACCACTAATTGACTGAAGCCCTGCCAAGCAAATCTTTTGTTAAATTGTCTGCCCGAAATCAAAACCCCGCGCTCAGCAGGCCCCGGTACCTCCAGTTCTGCCTACTAAGCACGGCCGCGCAAAGCCCCGGCTCCTGCCGCTTTGTCCCAAAGCCCTCGCGACAGCAGCCCCGGCTGCCCCCGCTGCTATATAGCGGGGTGGCCGACGGCTCCGTGGTTTTGGTTTTTGGCTTCCCCTTTTTATGGTCTTGGAGAGCAGCCAGCAGAAAATGTCTCAGTACTCAGGAAAAGTGAGTAAAACCCAACCGCTCACCTCTCGCCTGGGTGTCTGTGGGGTGAAGGTAGGGACTGGGATGACGTCCCCCATGGCACGGGCACAGATTTGGTAGAAGGGATGGGGAGGGTGCAGGGAAGGGAGCCGCTTTGAGAGCGGAGCTTCCTGTTTAAACATTCCTGCTGGAAATATGTGAGGGAGCGAGAAGTGCCGTGCACGCGGGATGCGCTGCCTTCCCAGAAAAACAAACACGGCTCGCAGAAAAAAAAAAATGGGGAAGGTTGCGTGCATGCTCCTCTTGGGAAGTGGCTAAAAAACAAACCGACCCCGAAATGATGCATCTGTGAGAGGCTCCTGTCAGCTTGACATCAGGGCCTGGCTGTGCCCCGCTCCTCACCACCGTGCCCTTCTCCTTCCCCACCCCAGATCACTTTCTACGAAGGGAAATGCTTCACGGGCAGGAGGCTGGACGTCTGCGGGACCTGCTGCAGCTTCCAGGACCGAGGGTTCCTCAACCGGGTCAACTCCATCTGCGTCCGGAGCGGGGCTTGGGTCTGCTTCGCCCACCCCAACCTCCGCGGGCAGCAGTACGTGCTGGAGCATGGCGAGTACCCCCACTTCCATCGCTGGAACGGCCGCGGCGACCGCTTGGGCTCCTGCCGGCCCGTGGGGATGGTGAGTGACCACCTGCAGCTTGGCCAAGAGCTTACGTGGTGTGGATGAAGCCTTGGAGGGGATGGAGATGCCACGGGGCACCAAATGCAATGGCCTCAATGGGAATGGGGTTACAAATGTGGTTTGCAGACGAGGTGGGGATGTCCTGATGGCACCGTGCGCCTTTTTCACCTGGGTTGCTGCGGGATGCTCAAGGTGGAGGCTCAGTAATGGGGCAAATGGGGGCCCAGAAGCTCAGCCCCAGGGGCTTCCCAAGCCGGACCCATGGAGCAGCTGCTCCAGGTGGATTTTATCTGAATTCTCTGCTATTGGAAAAAAAAAAATCTCAATAATTCCAGGCTACCACCGATTTTTTCCCCCAAAGGAAGAGCCCTCCCCTCAGGAAGCTTTTAAAAGCACCACCTGGAGGAAGGCATAATTGGAAAGGTAGAAAATCAGCCAAGAGAAGTGAAGCTGGGTTCCTTCTCCCTTTCTGATTCTCCCAGCCCTCGGGACCCCCAGGGCAACCACCCAGCCCACCTGGGCCTGGAGGGGTTTCTCGCCGGCCACTTTATGGGCACCTCCTTCCCAAAGCACCCCAGGACATGGCTCGCCACTCCTGCTTCTGGTCCCTACACAAAGGGATCTTTCCCGGGGCCCAGAGCCAGAGCAGGGGGTGCTCCTCCCCTCCTGGCCCCCTCTTTTCCCCCGCTGGATATCCGTGAGTGCTTTCAGCAGCGCGGATTCCCGGAGGAATGTTTGCTCGGGCACCGTATCCGCTCACCTGCTGTGGGGTTTGGCACCGCAGCCCGGTCGTTCCGTGCCTCGGTGTGGCTTATAGGAAGCACGCGTTTAGGTATTCCCTGAATTCGGCTTCAGAAAGCCCTTTCAGCTCGCTCTGCCCCCCCCGAACCTAGGCAGCGAGCTCTCCCCGGAGGAATTCACCTCATTTCACCCCCACTGGCTCACGTAGCAATGCCGCTGTGAAGGTTTCCCTTCCTGTTCCCTGTTTCACTTCTCTTCTTCAAGAAAGGCACAGCAGAACCGCAGATTCCTAATTAATCAGCTGGGGGAAACATTATGACATCTTTTTTTTTGGGGGGGGGAGGATTCTCAGGGAAGAGGTGGGCTGCGTGTGCCCACACGAGCGCAGCGGCTGCAGCCCGATGTGGCCGGGAGGTGGCACGAGGTTATGGCACGAGATTTTTCCCCCTGTTTCCACCCCAAAACACCCTTCCCTCTTTATCTCGCAGGAGCTGGGGGAACAACAAACCGTGGGTTGATTTGGTTTGGGTTTGGGTTTGGTTTGTTTTTTTGGCTGACTCCACTCCCTCTGCCCCCAGCACGGCGAGCACTACAGAATGGAAATATTCGAGGGGAGCCGGTTCAGCGGCCGCAGCATGGAGCTGACTGAGGATTGCGCCTCGCTGCAGGGGCAGGGCTGGGACAAGCCCTGCAGTCAACGCCATCAAGGTGTATGGCGACGGCGCGTGAGTACCCACAGGGTCCCTTCCCACATGCCCTACAGGGCCAGCATCAGGGTGAGGGATGCGGCTGCAAAGGAGCCAGCGGGGGAAAACCTGCTGGTGCTGGAGGAGTTTGGGGGAGCCTGAAAGTGTCAGTCAAGCCTGGGGTTTAAAGATGAATTTTGGCGACTCTAATAGTGATTTTGGTGACTCCAATATTGAGTGTGGAATGAGAGATGCTGCAAAGGGCATGATTTTTGCAGGGTGAAAGGCTACAAGAGCTCTGGGATACCTTGAAGGTGCATGAAACTGAAAACTCAATTTTTTCTTTTCTTTTCTTTTCTTTTCTTTTCTTTTCTTTTCTTTTCTTTTCTTTCTTTTTCTTTTCTTTTTCTTTTCTTTTCTTTTCTTTTCTTTTCTTTTCTTTTCTTTTCTTTCTTTTTTCTTTTCTTTTCTTTTTTCTTTTCTTTTCTTTTGAGGGGAGTGGGGGGGCGGGGAGGGGAGGGAGGGAGGGGGGGGAGGGCGGGGAGGGGTGGAGGGGAGGGGAGGGGAGGGAGGGGGGGGGGGAGGGCGAGGAGGGAGAGGCGCGGCTGGAGAGGAGGGAGAGGGAGGAGACGGAGCGGAAGCGGGAGGACGGGAGAGGTGAGGAGGGAGAGAGGAGGGAGGGGAGAGGGGAGGGGGAGAGGGAAGGGAGGGAGGGGAAGGAACGGCACTGGCAATTGGCAGTGACAAGAATTCCCGGAAATGTGCACCCCCGGCCCTTACTTGCCAGTCCAGGAACGGTACGAAAGTGCCCGTCCAGTGTCCACTTCCATTCCTTAACTTCCCGTCCCTTCCTTCCCTTCCCTTCCTTCCCTTCCCTTACCATTTTTCTTTCTCTCTATTTCTATCTTTATCTATCTCTCTTTTTCTCTCTTTCTCTCTTTATCTCTCTTTCTCTCTTTCTCCCTCCCTCCCTCCTTCCCTTCCTTATTTCTTGAGCTCACTGGGAACTCTGTTAGCCCTGAGCATTTGAAGCAAAAGTCATTTGAGCAGTGGGGTAGAACCAGCACCCTAAAGCCAAGAGAGAGCCCCCGAGTGTGCTAAGTGTTGTAGGACCACTCATTTACCACACATCTCTTTCGGACGGACCACATAAACCCAGATGTCCCCGGAGGTGCTGCAGCTCTGCCTGGTGCTGGTGAAGTCCTGCTTTGGCCATTTGGAGAGCAGAGGAGACTCAGTCATGAGAAACGAGGAGAATTTCAGCCGCAGGCTCTTTCCAGCTCATCCCCAGACCACAAGCAGGTCTGTATCACCCTGCGCATCCAGGAGCAACGTAAAGCAGGGCTCCTCTGAGCTCCCAGCAGTGCCCAAACCTCACTCCAATGTTTTTTCCCTCCTCGTTGCATGACGTTGGTTGGATGCAGAAATATTTTCTTCCCCTCCAAAGCCTGCGGACGGTGCCACGTGCCACGAAAACGCTGCTTGCTGCTCTCACGGGGGTGGCTGTGCCTGTGGGAAGTGATGATGGAGAGGATGGAGAGGAAGGAACAGAGAAACACCCGCCTTCAGCATTGTGTGGGACTGAGGGTGCTGGCACCTTTCCTGCTTTCTCCTTGGGGCTGGGGACACGGGGACAGAAACAGTGCTGGTGCAGCTTTTGGGGCGATGCTGGGAACGAGAGATCTGCTCTGGGGCACTCGGAGATGTTGCTGCCTCCGTGGGAGCTTGGCAGTTTGATGGCAAGCGGCCTCGCGCTTCCCACCTGCAGGGGATGGCTTGGAAATCACAGCTTTAAAAAGCTGAATTTGTTTTACGGTCTGGGAGAGAACGCCTAAAAAAAAAAGGGCTTTTCTGAACGCTAGCGACATAACCTGGAGAAACCAAACCAAACTTTTATTCTGCCCGAATCCCGCACGGGGAAGGATGGAGCCCCACTGCTCAATCAGAGCTGAACCTGCGGCACCCACCGGGCTCCGACACCCAACCCATCGGCCGGCCTCAGAGCAAGCCAGGGAAGAGATTTCAGGAAGAGCTGGGTCAGCAAACCGCAGGTTTTTGGTTTCCTCCTGAGGCCGAGAGGCTGAAATTGCCAGGTTTGTGGTGTATGTGTGGGTACAGCGAGCGAGAACCAGCCCTTCCGAGCAGGCAACCCCAAGCCATGGGCTGCAGTGTAAACACCTCGTGGACTTCATCACAGCTGAGTGTTCCTAGTGCTAATTACCGAGGCCCTTCAGACAGCACAGGGTGATTTTTAGTAGCCACTATGATTTTGGGGAGAAGCAGTGAGTTTCCACCAATGCCTGTGAGTTTCCTCTGCCCCCATCATCCCCGCTCTTCTTAGCATCCCTCCCCGGCCACGAGCAGCCGGGTCTCCTGCAGCCAAGGCCCTGCTGGATTTTCAGCACGAGCAGCTGGGTTTGGCTGATCGGGATCCACACGAGGTTCATTCCAGCATCTTCTGGGTTTATGGGCTAATGAAACGCAGCACAGAGATGTTGGAGGTTGTGTGCTCTGTGCCTGGATCCGCTCAGCCCTGCTGGGCTCCAGGATGGGATCGTCTCCTTTCTGGGCTGACCTTGCCTCGGTTGCTGATGTTCTGGGGGAACGTAAATTTTAGGGAATAAAGGAAGAGCTAAATAAGCTGTACAAGTCCTCACTCATCACCTTGCACTGCCAATACGCTTCAATCCCATCCTTCTGCTCTTCCGTTCTTCTGTTTCGCTGCCTTCCCCTAAGCAGGGGGGCTCCCCAAACCGCTGGGCTCTCACCAGAGCAGGTCGTGCTCTCCGCTTCCATCTGCCCCAGGGCCTGCTCAAATGCTCCACTGACCCTGTGGACACGTGAACCAAGGGCCTGGAGAGAAACACGGAGGTTCTGGGGCTACGATGGGCTGCTCTAGCCCTGCACTGTTCCCTGGGGTCCCTCCGTTGCTGAATGGGATGGGGTAGAAAAGGAAGAAAGCCAGGCGTGCCTTATGAATAAGGCAGGGGTGTGTTCAGAGGAGAATGATGATGTGAATTGTTCTTAATTAAGCTGAAGAGCTGAGCACCTTCTCTGAAGGGTCAGGTACTGAGGGTGCACGTGGCCTCGGGGCACCCTGCCGGTACGCAAGCAGTGGGCAGCCTCCAAGGAAAACCTGAGGGTGACTTCGCAGTTCTGCTTCGGATAGAAACTGGCCTCAAAAAGTGCCAAAAAATGAACTTGGTTGTTTGTAGGGAAGGCTCAGGAGCCAGTTGTCTTGGCTGGGCACATTTTGGTGATGCAGGACCACTGGGACCGCATGGGTGGGTGCCCTCCAGAAGTGCAAAATAAATCCAGATGTGTCCAGGAGTCCATGGGGTGGCTCAACCAAATGCTCTAAGCTTTTCCTTTTTTTTTTTTTTTTTCTTTTTCTTTTTTTTTTTTTTTTTTGATAATGCTCATGGATGGCTGGTTTTATAAACAACATTTTTTTCCTAAGGGCTGCAGCTCTCAGCTCTGGGTCAGACTGATCCGAGCTCAGCAGCTGTTGTCTGACCCTGGAGGCTCAGCAGTCACTGGCCCGTGCAGGACTTAAAGGAGTTTTCTCCCTGGAAATCCCGCATGCAGTAGGTCCTAACCAAGATGTCACAGCTGAATGTCTGGCAAGAGATCGACCACGAAAACCAAATGATTTGGAAGATTAACCTGCTCCCTGTTAGGAAACATCGGAGAGAATTCCTAGGAAAAAGAGAAATTATTAAGCGTGGCTATAGACGTGATTCCCATCACAGCTGAAGAGGCAGCTCAAGGAGGTAGGATTTATTTCCAGTGCAGCAGGAAGGATATTTCTCCTTACAGTCCCAAATTTGTTTACCCAGGGGCTGAGGGGCCTTTTGGGGTACACCCCAGGAATTTTTTCTTGTCCTGCTTTTAGGAATTCTTCAGATTTGCCTTGCTTCTGGCCCCTGAAGTTTGGCTTTATGATATAAAATTTTAATTTATTAGATTTTTTTGTGGGACTGGTGTCCTTCTTTAGTGCTGAATGCTGTGAATTTGTTTCTGTCGTGTCTGGTGAAGATCAGATTTGTCACATCTCACTCTGCTCCCGCACAAACACACAATTCCTACAGCAATGAGAAGGGGGAAGGCTCTGGCTCCAGGCTTTGTTGCTGCTGTTACCCAAACCAACTTCTGCCCAAGCTGGCCACGGGGTGACTGCCAGGCTGTGCTGGAAACTCTTCTGGGGGCTTTCTGTGTGCTGAATGGGGCTGGGGCTGTGGGGCCTGGTGGTTTGCAGCACGGAAGCCCCTAAATGCAGCTGCTCAAGCCCAGCTTGCACAGTGGGGTTGTAGGGCCGCAGGTAACCATCCCGTTCTGCTCAGGTGGGTGCTGTACGAGGAGCCCAACTACCGAGGCCGCATGTACGTGGTGGAGCGGGGCGAGTTCAGCAGCTTCAGAGCATGGCAGGCATGCAGCTCAAGCATCCAGTCCGTCAGGAGAGTCGTCAACTACGTCTAGCTGAGCTCTCACCCCGCCACTGAGACCAGGCATCACCCCCTTCCTGCCATCTGGGCCCAGGAATAAATCGTTCAACATCAGCTTTTGGCTCTAAGTACATTTTTTTTCCCGTCAACTGTATGAGTTCAGGAGGGAACGGGCTTGCAACCTTTCTAAGCTTGAGTTACGCGCTGGGATTTCATTCTCCATGGTGCAGAGATCTATAGGGAGGACACGGGGTGATGGCACAGATCTCCTTCCAGAAGTGGTGGTGGCAAGGAGACCTGGGGAACCTCAAAACATGCTCCAAGTGTGGTTCTGCTCTGAGCTGTGCTTGTTCTGTCCCATCCAGGGCCACCACGCGACGGACCCGGCCAGCTCCTGATGCCTGGAGGGGGTCAGGGTGCTGCACACACACACTGTGATCCATCAGAGGGGTGCGAGCTGCTTGTGCAATGAGGGGACACACGTGAGGCTCATGCCCCGATCTGATGGACCCATGGGGCCTGTCTCAGTGCCATGTGCTGGTCCTGGTTCAAAGGTGATGGAAATAATTCCTCCTGACTTACTCTGAGCTTAGAAACCCATATCAAACCCAGCTTCCACATAAAATAAAAACATTTTAGGGGGGGCAGCAAAGCATGCAGTATGCCCACATAGGTCACATATGTGTTATGGGGGTATGGAAACAGCTAAAAAAACCTACAGAGTGACTCTACCAACGGTTCAGCTGACATTTCCCTCAGCAGCAATACAGGCAGTGATGTCCCCCGATGGACAACAGCTCCAGACTGTGCTGGCCATGTCCTGGGTGGCTTGCAGTGACACACGGTCCTCTGGGGCCCTAAAAATGTTGAAGCATCTTTGATGGATTGCAAGGTATTTCTGGGTCGGAAAAGAAGGCAGGGAAATGATTCATTCATTGAGTAGGATGCACAAACGTACAACTCATGCATCAACTCTTGCGTACTTCATTTTCTTTTAATTAAATGCAGCTTATGAAAGATTTTAGGAGTTCTTCCAGGATTAGCATTGCTCTTGCTTCGTGAAAGCTCTAATCGGCTCCCGAGTTCATATGAAAAGTTAATATTCGGTCACACGTGGGGCTCTTTGTTGTGACCTTCCAGACAGTAATCTGTAAAAAAAAAAAAAAACAACAAACACAAATGTGCTCCCAGAGAAAGACAGGCATTGAGCTGTGAGTAGCTTTAAAGGAGTTTCATTCATGGGAAGCAGAAACAAAGGGTTTTAAAGAAGCCCTAACAGGAATCCCAGATGCTCTGTGTGGCTGGAGGACAAAAGCAAAGAAAATAACGAGGAACCATCCAAACCAGCCACCCCAATTCCCCCAAGAGCAGTGGTCTAAGACTAGAAATCCGCACACCTGGGTTTCTCCACACTTGGTTGTCCTGCTGAAGCTGGGTCAGACCTGAGAAACCCCAGAGAGCTGAGCTGTACGGATTCCAGATTGCGGTGGCTCAGCCCTTAGGGGGGAGCACGGTCATCCCTCCCCTTCCTTAATGCATGTATGGGACCGTGCACGTATGCACAGATGTACAGCCCCACTCGGCCATGCAGGCACTGCGTGCAGGTCCACTCCTTCTAAACATTTCAAATTCAGGTTGTTTATGGATTTGGGTGGGTTACTACTCATTATTGACACTGCGGAGGTAGCCAGGAGCCCCAGCACCGGGCTGAACCCTGCTAGGGTTAAAATCAGAGAAGAAGCAGCCTGGTTAAGCTGTGCGGTTGCGTGTAACCAGCACTTAGCTACCTAGAGCACGCCTTACACATGTCTGTGCTACGCCTCCAGACCACACGCTCATCACTTAACACGTGAGATCCCGTTTACGAGCACCCTCCCAGCGCAAGGAGCCAGCCTCATGGGAACACTTCATTGAAAACCATCCTCCGTACGTAGAAGCGTCGTATCACTGGCAGCTGGCGGCGGGGAATTGAGTTTTTCCTGTTTTTTTTTTTTTCTTGGTTTGAAAGCTAAATGTGGTGGACACGAGCCTGGTGGTGCTGCAGAACGTGCACTGCGTTGGCAGCGGGGGGATGCAGCTCCCCTTCCCTCCTCCTCCTTGCTAAATCTGCACTTGTTTAAAGGACAGAGCGTACAGATCCCATATGCACGCTGGTGGTTAGGGTGGTGGCTGTTCTTAAGATTACTGCCATTGCTCGGGTATGAAACGGCCTGATTTGTGTGTTTGAGCTCGGTGACAGAAGTGCCAGCTCGCTGGGAAGTGGATGTGAGATCGTGGAGCAGAGCTCCGAGCCGCACGGTGTTAAACTGCACGGCTGAACGAGCTCTGTTACGTGCACCCAGGCAGCAAGCAAAGGATTAAGTAAATTGGAAAGCGTCCTACAAAATGCCAGGGTGAAAGAAAGATTCAGAAAAAAAAAAAAAATGAACAAAAGGGGCAAGTTATTAATTACAAGAGAGGGAACTAAATGAAATCAGCTCCATCTGGAAAGCCAGGAAAGCCCTAATAATCAGCATTACTGGGCTTGGCCAGGCTGCTGCAGTGTAATATTCAGAATAACTTTGAATTACATCTGGCCCCAAAGCAAGTAGCTCCTGCCAGAATGCCTTTATACACGAATGTCCTTTCTCTGTAGCTGGATAATGTGGGAATTTGATGGAATATCTTTTGCAAATGAATCTGTGGAAGACATCTGCACCGCTACAGCACTTCTGCATTGCTACATTACCCAGCACATGGAGAGACCCTCCTGTGCTTTCTTTTCTCTTCCTCCAGAGCCACTGATCTGGACCAGGTAGCAATGAATTCACTCTTCCATGTCTGTTAGAGCTGTTTTCTTGGTGGACAGGTATCCTGGCTCCCATGCAAAGTCTGGTTTTAGCTTTCTCTTCCCTGTTGTGTTCAAGTTAAGGAGAAGCTGCCTGAGGTGAAAACAGGTTTGGCTTGGGGATTTTCACTCCGAGGGCTCAGACTATTGCCCAGGAGTAAATCTGACTGAGCTGAGAAGCCCTTGAGGCAGATGATATCTGTGTGCCTGATGTGGTCAGCATCCTCAGCGTCACAAATGGCAATTCCTAACCCCCCTGGTCTATCGGAGAGGTTAAAGCCAGCTCAATCAACCTCCAGTGACAGGGACTCCCGTAGGGGCCGTGGCTTGGTGTCCTCTTGCTCCAAAAGTTCAATATCAGCCATCGTTCAATCAGCAGAGGAGCTGCAATAACAGTTTTGAGCCATTCCCATACAACTGGTGACAAATTGGTGACAACGAAGGAAACCAAACACACCCACATGGAAGAAAGCGTGGAAAAGGACGGGAGGGTTTTAGTTTTCCATGGAGGGACAGAAACAGGGAGGAGCAAACGGGAACTATGTGTTTTCCACGGACGGCTGACCGTCTTGATGTGGTGTGGCACAAATCCATTTGTAACCGAGTCAAGCTGCCCTGCTTCAAGTGTGCTGGCACGTGGGGGAATGCATCAGTGTTCGCAGTCAAATTGTAAGTGGAGGAAACCCGGAATCATACTGAAATGGTTAATGTCGATTCCTTCTTTAAACAGGATGATCTCCAGTGGGTTGTGGTAAGCCTGCACTTGGGTAGGCATTCACACCTGCACTCACACCGTCCAAAATGCACTAACGCCTTCCCCTCTGTTGGAAGGGATGGCTTTATGTGCTCCTGCTAGGGCAGCACAGGGGCTGGGACACTGAAGGATCAGTCACTGATCACCCCTGAAAAGGTGCCTGTGCCATCGTCCTCTTCCTCGCATGCCTTCACGAAGGCAGCCACCACCAAAAGAAGTCTCTTCCCTCTCCGTGAATCATTTCTCTATGTTCTGTGTGCCACGGGGCACCAGCACATAACCGAGCCTGCCCCGACACGGTGACGTGCCTGCCTCTCCAGGCTCCGTTCTGCTTCGCAGGGTGGGATGAACATAAATCCTGGGCGTAAATCATCCTCGAGCTTTCGCAGTGAGAAAGCACCGTGTGGTCCCGTCCACACGCAGAGCTGACCGGCTCAGCTATGCGAGCGCAGCAGCTGTTCCAGTAATGTAAGTGGGAACCAAAACTGCTGAGATTTGCAGAGCTTTATGTGGTTGTCATTGGTTTTCTTGGCTGGTAATGCAAGAAGAAAATAATAACATTTGAGTCATCTGAACCTACAATAATAATAATAATAATAACAGGATTCCAAAGGTTTTATTTTGTGTGTATCCTGCTATTATTGACTTGTCCTTTGAAATTATTTTTCTGAGAATAATAGAGCTTCTTTTTTTTAAACTGGGAGCTGGGGCCAGATTCATTTATCTTCTACCTTTAAAAGAAAGAGAGAAAAAAAAAAAGAGTAGGAAAACACCATTCTGGCTTCTGGAATTTATCGTTTCAGTTCAGGTCTTACTACAGAGCTGGCAATCTGCATTTCACAGGTTTCAGACGTCTTTTTCTATAATTTATTAATAAGAGATATATAACAGTCAGCTCCCTTGACAATAAAGGATGACATGCTCCATCAGAAACAGGGACTTCCACGGCACTGGAAAACCTTCTGACTGCATTGACTGATTCTCCTTTTCAGCTGCATTCAGGCAACACAGGTTTGAAGAAAAAAAAAGAAAGTCTGGTAAGGATCCAAAAACTCTGTAACAGACCCCCAGGCCTGGGATTTGTCTAATAGATTGCTATTAAAGAGTTCTTTGGCTGGAAAGAAATACCAGACAGAGTTTCCCTTGTTCCAGTTCTTGGGGTATTTTTCTTTTTCCTTTTTCTTTCTTTCTTTTTTTTTTTTTTCTTTTTTCTTTTTTCCTTTTAAATTGGCATCTGAATATTCAGGTCAAACTTGCAGTCAAGATGTTGGAAGGTCAAGGGGAGGGCACAGGTTACCAGATTCTCAAAGCTTGCACTGATTTCTTACAGAAGGTGCTCTTTCCCCACGACCTAGTTTGAAGGAATGGTAATCGTAAGAATAATACCACTAACAATAATAATAAAAACAGTCAAATCAGTGATTTTTCCATTTGGGTCCAAATCAGCTTTTGAAAGAAGGAGCAGATGCTTTAGCTTGTATGGAAAAGACTCAAAACTGTCTCGGGAGACTCCAGCCTCAGTCCTTCAGCAGT